ATCCGCGGCCAGATAACCTTAAATCGCTTTTCCGTTGAAGTAGATAATGACATCTGTTGTAGACAAAGCTCCGGTTAAACGTACTGAAGCCGCCATTACCTAGTAGATGTCGGTACACTGGCAAGATGAATGCATATTGGGACACTAAGTACTCAGTTTTTGGCTTTTATGTCAGCAGACTGACAACTGCAGCCCTGTACTAATAGAAGGTAACTTTTGTCTTCACTGATGGTTGAGAAAGAAGTCTATAGGTTTTAGCGATAAAGGTATCATCGGAATCCCACAGGAACTCATAAATGACATGTGAGACGAAAGCAATGAATGAAGCTCTGGGTATTGTTTTGATATACCACTTCTTCTGGTGTTTGTTGTGAACAGACGCATTCCAGCCTCCATATAATTACGGTTCGAAGGAGATCGAAGTTTCTTGTGGACAATGGTGGACAGACACACAGCTATCTCTTTCTTTCTAACTATGATGGCCAAATTAGGTGGAACGTCTGGTCTGCACAGTAGCCGTTTGCCAATGGAGCCTTTTTTCCGTTCAGTGAATGGTTTACAGATATTCTCGGTCTGTTACATCGTTAACAGCTTGTTTTAAAAAAATCACAAACGAAGCCTGGCCTTCAGAAAGGTGTGGTGAGAAAACCTGTGGATGTCATCAGACTTCTAAGAGTAATCGGTTCTGAGCGTTTTCCGGCTGACTCATCTCAATGACTCGTGTGCAGTAATAAGTTCGACTCATCGAGAGGGTTATGGCATGCTGAGAAGAGGATCTATTGATGTAGCTGGACAATATATCGCTGCGATAGCCCGCATTGCAGAGTTGCATGGCAGTGTAGTCACTTGGTGGTGTCACTCACACACCAGAGTATGCATTTGCGCCCTCTTTGAGCGCTGCTAAAACGGTCCTAACACGTCTGCCTCGAAATACTGATAGCCGTCATGGCTGTTGACTGTTTGCAATCCACATGCAAACTGCTCATCATCAGACGGGGAAATACCGTCAGGGCGCAGCTGGGTGACCGCCCCAAACACGTTACTTACCAAGCTCGGCGAACAAATCGAAAGTCATCTGTTCAGTAACCAACGTTCTCTTTGCCATTTACCTGGTCAGAATTCAGCTCCTGTCACTGCCAGCGAGTTCCACTGACACAAAAGCTCGTGCCCACCTACGACGATTTTTGGTGTAAACTCACCGAAAAAGGTGAATCGAAATACAATTTCACAGGCACTTAAAAACTAGGACATAAAAGTGCACACAGATAAATATGGCTTCGTTCGGGTGCGCCGCTGTCGTAGTCCACTTTGGGTTTATTAGCTATCTCAACTGTACTTGACTATGTCAACGATCAAAACATGCCCATCTACTAGATCTCGTGTGTGAATGTGTGTAGGCTATTTGTATCAAACTGACTTTGGTCACCTCATAGGGTCAGTCGCTTTGTTTCCAAAAACACGAGCATAAAGTGAGACAAAGTGGGGTTATCATTCTTCAACTTAAGCGGGAAATTAGTAGGAGGCATTTCGGAATAACTTATTCGCATACTAATTCAGTTAAGACTGGAGAAGAGCTCTCAGCAACCTTATGAGTAGTATGTTACACTCGGTTCGATCTCATTTTCCATTTGCTCGCTCACCATGGTATGACTTGCTGGGAGGAACGTGGATAATCAGACAACCTGTGCGTCTTTTACAAAATGACGGTAGGTGAATTTCTCTGTCAGGCCCCTCCAAACATTCATGTCACGAAAGCAGATCCTGCGCAAAGAGCCCGTCACTAAAGCAAGTTGTCAAAATTTGGAACGCAATGGGGGTGCAACCTTAGTGGATCAGCATAAATGAAACAATTCTGACACTAGAATTGAACTAGCACAACGATGTGACAGGAAATTCCAACCACGTCTAGTATTGTCTGGATAGGAATACAAAAACGGTCTACGTCCAACCGACTTTGGCTAATTTTTATGCCTTTTGTAAGACAGCTTTAGGAAAGACCTGACTACCTGACCACTAAAGCAAGTGAGAATGTTCTGGATTGTGTGTGCACGGCAAAGCCATTCTAAAGCGACCTCTGACTGGACCTTTGGTGCTGCACAAGGCATTGAACGGGGCAGTTCTTTGTGATTGAAACTGTACCCATAGATGGAAGTGATAAATTCAAGCAGGGGCTAGTTCATCTGGTTATTTCAGTACAAATATAGCCTTTCTGTTGCTAAAAAATGTCACAGAATTCGGATAAATGCAGTATTCCCTACGGGACAGTTTTATGCTCTTAGTGACTACTTATGTTGATGAGTAGTACGTTGTGGAATCCAAACGCAGGTGGGCGATTTCCCCGGAATAATTCGTTGACAGACTATTTTTCTCAGTAGCTCACGTTGCTTATAATTGACACAGTGACATAGCGTGAGTGATTTTTATCTGATTGTGATTAAGTAGTTAATTATTCTCGGCCGGGATCCGAAGCATGACATACGTAACTACTTCCGAAAATATGGTAAAAGGTTGACAAAAAAGGTATAGAGACATTAGAGTAATACTATGGAGAACTGACATACTGCACGTATGTCTACTTTGCAGTCTCACTGACAGCCATCTCTCTGAACGGAATTTCTACGCTATCAGACCAACAGCACACCAGTCAGTTGATGTCCTGTTTATCTGAGACAAGCGCAGACTAAGGAAGGAATCAAAGTGGTGTGAAAAACGTTATTGCCAAAATCACTGCAGCGGAATGTATGCAAGATAAACTTTGCCATAACTTGGAAGCGTTTTTCCAACTTCTTCTGGGCCTACAAACCTTTCGACCGTCCATGCATGATAATCTGAATCGTTGTGTCATCTTTACGTTTGCCAGGTTTACCTCAGATCCCAACCCTGCGCAACCATGAAATCTTTCACCCGAATGCCTGACGTAAGATAAACAGAACATTAGAAAAAAAACAGGAAACGACCCAGTCGAGAGGGACAGGCGAACGTGGTTTATTCGCGTTCTAAATATTTCGGCTTCTGAATAATGTAATCCATACAATTGGGGTAATTCTTCTCGTTTAAAAAGGGCATCTAGTTATGGAAGAGACACGGATTCAACATGTGTTTTTCAGGCAAATTCCAACACGACTACCGAGAGGGCTGTGTTCCGAGGATACTATTTTGGTCCGTCATGTATTCTAGCATGTGGATTCAGTTCGGTGCGACCAACCAGGAAGGGTTCACCATGCTGCTTCGACAATAACACCAGATTGTCGAACACGCGTATTTAACTGTAAGGCCCTTGGAGAAATTTACGAAAATCAGCTTTGCCTGATAAAGCACTTTTTGACAAAATATGCATCCAGATAATTGCATGACGATTAACGAATTGCTGAAAGAGTACTGCGTTCAGCGTTCAGTCAAGAATGACAGTTCATTTGACCGCCACAGAGCAACCACCTGTGCTGGAGCCTCGGGCACGTAGCAATGACCTCAGCCAATTTAGTCACGTGACTGATTTAGTCTGCCAAACTGATTAGGCTTAACTGAACACATCGCTTGTAAATGACTCTCAGTTTATAGAAGCTTTGAGTATCAACCGCGATTTCGTCTCTGTTATAAAACGCTTCCTAAGGCCTTCACTTTAGGCTTTTCGGAATGCGGTCATCTAGGGATTCCACATTTAAAAAATGAAGGCAACCGATCCGCACAAACTGTTTTGAACAGCTGAATTCTGTTAGAAACGTCCTTCGCTTTTTGCATGTTCCTTCTAACCGCTACATTGGTGACTGTTGAGTAACAACAGTTGCTATAGTTTCACTCACTATAACTGAAAACCCTTTAGGAATATATTCATTCCTTCCCAAACTGACTGGAATTCGTATGACAAAAGACGGAGGGTGATTTTGAGCAACTAATGCGAGCGAATTGCTGAAGCTCTTACGAAAGTCATCGCATATATCAATTAGGACGGGCATCAAAAGCACGATTTTCCCGTTTTCCTCTGCTTCTCTCTATCGGTCTGCTCAACTGTTCTGGATTACTTGAAAAGGATGTGTGCCTTGTTGGCAGTGATGGCAATTAGGCATTTGGAAAGAACCTAACAAAAGCCTCATTTGACCTCAGTGCTGGCTTTTCTCGAAATGGATCATTGTGGTATTCAACATTTCGGGCTAACTTTAGTCAGTATTACCCTGAATACGTTTTGCTCCGATTCACGCACACGACTGGGACCATAGGTTTCCTAAATTTCGCCGCTGGTCTCATCAAAGTCTCCCCTTTCCATTAATCAAACAAGTCTGCAAACTTCAATGATTACGAATAGTTCTGGACTGGGAGTTTTTTGGGAATCGTCAACCAGCTGTCTACTGTGATAACCGACCAGTGTCAGTCTGAGGAATTACTGATGAACACGGTTGAACAAACTAGGGACCGCTTAACATGGGGTGCACTAGAGAACTTATTAGACGCCATGAAAAATCGTTTTTCTTGACCTTGAACTTAGACATCCAGCGTGGTTCATTCTTATAACAACAAGTGACGTGATCATTTTCCGGCCGTTTCTGTGGTTTGTTGCTAGAAAAGTGAGTCAGTTGGGGGGGGGGGGGGGGGGGGGGTTGTCTGATTCCTCTTTGACTAGAAATACACGTCTCCAAAACAGAAGGCTAGGACCTGTACTCAAAAGTGGTAGAAACTGACATCCGAACATCGTGGTTTTCAGGGCGACATTATAAAAAAGGACACTTTGAGGGGATCTGGAGTCCAACTTGTTCAAATAGACCTCACCACTATAATCCATGTCATATACTTTGGAAAATGCATGCTCTCATGAAAAAAAGCTCCACCATAATGTCGAAACTAGTAAAAAAAGCATACTCGCTACCGTATAAAGGTGGACATTTAAAGCCATGTTCAAATAGTCCTCACCAATATAATCCATGTCATATACTTTGGAAAATGCATGCTCTAATGAAAAAAAGCTCCACAATAATGCCGAAACTAGTAAAAAAAGCATACTCGCATACCGTATAAGGTGGACATTTAAAGCCATGCATGCCGAAGACTGGACACTGCATTCTACGGATTGCTTACTGCTCCCGTTTCCAAATGGCTCATGGCTCGACGGTCTCTGGCTCTTGAAGCACGTTGCATTGTGTCCAGATCGTCGAGAAAATTGTCGGCCAAGCGTCGAGCATGTCTGGATGCGTCATTCATGTCTGCACCGTGAACTTCAATAGTCACATAGCCGAGCATTTTCACGAGCGTTTGGTGAACACGAAAAAAAGATGTGTTGAAAGTGAGTTGTAAGCTGACAGAAAATCCGAGACAATGTTTTAGAATGAACTGTTGTCTAGGTTGATAGCCGAAAATCCGAAAACTCGGTGGTTGGCACAGTGACGGCTGCCTAGTCCGGGAGAAATCTGTTGGCTTTTGTAGAATGGAATGTACTCGTTAATGATTGGTGGTTGGACCGAACGCTTGCACTTGTGCGTACGCCTGCCTGTGCGCACGATTTGGTGCGTGTGGGCAGCGAACATCGTACTGCGGCCAAACAGAACGGTGTCGAACTTTTTGTGCGGATGCCATTCCACCTGTGATAAGGTCCTAAAAATAGAATGTTGCCCTTAACCAAGTCGAGCAACGGAAATCACCGGCTGCGTAACCATTGAGGACAAGACAACCACCACCGGCATATGTGCATAGTTTTCTTCGAAAGCCAAGGTCACATGTACACATAACGGGAGGGAGGGAGATTGAACGGTCCCGATAATTGCATGCCTAACCTGATTTTATACTAGCATGTTCTTTTGGCCATTTATTTATCAAGAAGATATCTATTAGTTTCATTAGGTTGGTAGTTAATGAATGTTGGGAACGTGAATGTCAGTAAATCACCGCTTATTGAATTGAAGAATAAGGGAAATTTACACGTGTGGTTTCAATTATACCTTCTGAGTTACAGCTGCGATTGCAACTTGTTTATCGATTTTAAAAACCAGGTCCAAAACATGAGACTATCAAGCAGAGCGTTGATCCGATAATTTGTCCTCAGTGGTTGTTTAGCCCATGTTCTTCATAAAGGGTTGATAACATCCTATTTAAGGACATTTGGAATGAAAGAAATCCCTGAATATCACTTTCATCCAAACACTGTTGAGTAAACCAGAAACGTCGTTCCTGTTAAGATTGAGTTACGACCCGCCTACAATGAACAGTCGGTTAGCAGCCTTCACTGCATGTAGATTCGAACACGTGAACGCAATAGACTTGGTCGAGTGAGCAAATATCAACCAACCTAAGAAAAAAAGTATAATCGATACACTGAGTGGATCAATAACCATCATGACAAACAAGAATAACCGGTTCGAATCAATGAGCCCATACAATTGACAGAGTTCGCGTTAACACGCGACCTGTTTCAGCCTTCGTGGCTATCGGCAGACAGGCGCAGTTCCAGCCAACCTTATGTTCCTCTTGAAACCGATTGTAAGATGTTTTAAGCAATCTCCTGAGCAGTGTGTCCCGGTTGGGAAATCAATCGAGATAACTTAGAAATAGAAGAATACTACCTATCCAGGTCTATCGACCTATTGCAGAAGTTTCTTTTATGAAGCCAGTAAATCTTCTCGCTGAAAGTCTTAGTTCACACTGACATCACAGAATTCCAATAGGCATGCGTCTGAGATTTGATAGTTTCCAAGTGGTCTTCAGGAATAACGATCCAGATAGAGATTTTGCATAGATTGCAGGTTTTCTTTATTCAACTCATAGCGGTCAGGTTATGGGTTCGAAACTCCCCGGGGTTCCGCGAGATTGCATTGCTTGTGATTTCCGATAAGCAAGAAACAGCTGTACAGTGCTTCTGGCTTTTCAAAACAGATCAACTTTACTTGCAGGAGGAAATCGCTGATGAAATTTCCAAATCCCCTCATACTATCATCAAGTACTGAACACCATTAGTTGTCTCTACCAATGAATCTCGCAATGATTCATGCGAGCCTCAGACGACAGAAATTTTCAAGTACAGAGTACACCACAGTAGCTCATCCGTACTACACCAGTGAGCTAAATTCACAGCAAAGCCTTCGGGCTAATATGACACCCACTATCGGTGTGAGGAGAAAAACTTGAGAAGAGCATATTGGGATGCTCCGATAGGTGGACCCGGTTTAGAGCTGGGGTCCAGGGAGAAATCAGCTGAAGTAGGGAGAACCGGTCGCATTTTTGATGTCCTGATCAGAGTTTTCATTGGTTCAAATTTATACCATATACTGGACGAAACAAGGTCTAAATTGACACTATGAACCGAGAAGGTGTCCAAACAGGCGGTAAATTGAATAGAAAAGGTCGCAGTCCAAACAAAGGATCCCTTGTGAATAACCGCTGACCGGAAAACTCAAAGGCAAGATGCCATGCGATATAACACTGTGAAGTAACTATCGAGAAATGTGAGCATTCGGTTGTATTGGATGTATCAATACATGTCTGCCCTGATACAAAAGTAATATCCGTTTTTTCTAATTCATACACAGGAGTATAATGCCATTCTAACCTCGGTGAATAGAATAGGGGAAATCCAAGCTTATATGTCTTGTCAAAGATTGGTTCATTATTGGGCACAAGGCGATAGTAGTAGTAAACCTTGATGATCGCGTGATTCTTGATGAGGATGTGCAATTATGATACTCTTGGGCTGAGAATGTTCCAGAAATTAGAACATCTGAGTATCTATTTGTATTCTATGATTCCTACCTAGACCGGCCAGGGAAGGAACTTACGAGTCACACGGCATTCAGTCTGAGAAAGCGTCAGGCGAGAAGCCAGCCAACCACCCATCAAGTGATGTAAACCGCGTGGCCGAGGAAAGGGAAGAGCTTTATCCCCTCCAAGCCTGCGTGGCCTAATGTTATAGTGTTCAATTAATAACTCTAAGGCTTGGGGACTAGCTCAATAGTTTAAACCCACACATTAAGTTTAGCATGGAGATAAAGTCCACATCGGGCACATTACCCTTTCTGGACTGTATAACACATAAGGTTGGTGGGAAATTGAAAACGACTATCTACCAGAAACCAACAGACACGGGGATCATCTTAAACTATTCATCAGCACACCCAAAGTCCGTGTACGCCAGCATTGTCTCATCGATGTTTCGTCGAGTTAGAGCACAGAAGAGATCGACCGGACGGCAGCTCAAATCGAGATTGCCAACAAACTTCAAGAAATAGGATACCCAGTGAGTTTGATTAGGCGACAACTAAGGAAGATATTGG